GCGTATTGTTATTCCGAGCGCAATTATACTATCGATTACGTGAACAAACGACTATGGATTTACTCGAGATTAAAATCATGGAATAGATCATTCTTGGTATAGTTACTCGTGTATAAATTGAAGTTTGGTCGAATCGACCCTTAGTCGGCTAAGGTAGAAATAAATATACTACTACTAGACTACAGCTATCATTAATATTACAATAACATTAATAAATAATAATTGTCATAAGAATCTTTATAATTTGAAAAATGGTGAAGAGATTAACTTCATGAGTTAATGATTTGGTCACAAATTTTTGGCCGTAATGACGCCCGGCGTTGAACTGTTTATACTTATAGTTAAACCTTAATTATTCATCAATCTGGCATGGGCATTGGGCAATCTATGAAATAAATTGTATGCAATAGTTGTCCTCACCGTGATTGATTCGATTTCTAGAATTGCAACTATCGAGACATGAATGACAGAATGACAAGAAAAATTGGGACTCTTTTTAACGTTTTAGAATTTCAAATGGATTTCTTTTACTTTATCCTCTAAAAGCACTTCAATACGTTCAACACTCTCCTTGAATTTAACTGTTCCATTTGTATTCCTTACATTGTCCTGTTCCAACCTTTCTAAAATACGCCGCATAATTTTTTCATACATTTTGTCATTAGTCCTTGAATTAGTTACATTCCTCAATAACTTCTTAAAGGCCATTTTCAATGAAGTTATATTATTCACCTTACGTATAAAAGTCGTCTTAATTTTTTGCGCTTGAACAAGCTGTAGTATTTCCATAGCTGTAATAAAGATTTCATACATATATATTTTTAATAAAAAAATATAAGAAAATAACAATAAAAAATAATAATATCACACTGGCCCCTTCCCATCTACATGGAACTAACAACAGAGCTGGTGCGGCTTGTGATGCGGCTGAAAAAGCTAAAGCATGCAAATACAGCCCTGCGATTCTGTAACTCACTTTTCGAACTCACACAGCGGTTTTCGGATCGCCGGTCGCTCTCAAATCAGTCGTGAAACAGTCATTATATGATTTGGCATTCTGAAAAGGTGGAAGCTTGTAGTTTATTGTTTATTAGAATGCCATATCATAAAATGACTGCTTCACGACTGATTTCAGAGCGACCGCCGTTGCGAAAACAGCTGAGTGAGTTCGAAAAGTGAGTTACAGAATCGCAGGGCTGGGGTCTAGGCTCTGAATATTATTTTGTCCCATTCGGTGTCGAGACCCTTGGTCCGTGGAGTCCTAGCGCTATAAGGCTTTTTAAGGAAATAGCAAAAAGGTTAGTCGACATCACATGAGATCGAAGAGCTGGCTCGGACAAAGAATTCGTCTAGCTATTCAGAACCTTACCTAAAGGGACTCCTTTTAATAATATATTTTAGTTATTATATTTTAAAGTAAGAATGTATAATAAATAATATAAAATAAAAAATGTTATCTTTTTGTTTACTTTTTCAACTTATATAAAAATGGATTTCTACAGGTACATTTCGGAATGTAAAACGTAAAACAAATGTGCGATACAAAACGTGGCGTTCGATTTTGATAGGTCTAACGGACGCAATGTCATGACACATCATGTCGCGTGTCAAACCTCTATTGAGCTAGATGCTGTTGGCCAATCAAAATCGCGCGGAGCGTACAATCGTTTCATATTTCGTTACATTCTCACCCCTGCGTCCTTGATCCGCTAAAGAAGTTAAAGAAAGTTCAGGGTCGTAGTAAACAAAATGACCGTTACTTTCGGTAAGTCCATATATGCCTTTATTCGGCTGCGGTCTTTTTATAAAAAAACATAATATTTTCTGTGGGATTTTATAAAGCAAAAATAAAACCATTGGAAAAAACTTGCCTAGATAAACACATACTAAACAACAAAGTACAGAAGTACAAGAAAAACAGTTTGATATAAATGTTTTTGCAGACATTTCCGTATTTACACCATTATTGAAAGTAATATCAATGAAAATAAAATTCAAAAACTATTAACTTTACAACCACTCTATAATAGACTCTGACGCTTAGGTTTCGAATAACATAGATTTTTTTTTAATTCATATACATATTTATTTAAATAAGTGAACGCCTTGATTAATTATAACTATATGTATACCATATCTACCGTTCTTTTTAGTTTAATCAAACAACTATGGAAAGTTACCCGGGGTTTTGTGTGGCGATTGTAAGAATCAATGATTGTAACCTTGTCCGTGCTTAATTCATAATGAGATACCATTATATCTGCATGTCTCTCGATACAGTTCAAATCTCTGGACTTGCCCTAAATGTGTGTTAACATTACATAAGGGTTACACAACTTGAGTTTCTAACGTCAACTCTTCGAGGGCAAGTTAACAAGTTGTATACCATTCACCAACTGTAGGTATTAATTATATCGTTCGGGACGTTTTTAAAGATTTCTTAAAGGATATATTTTTTAAAATTAATGATGCATAATAATAACTTAAAAGTTTGACGTTTATTTTAGAACAAAAAGTTAAAGAAGTGCGATGATCTTAAGTCTAAAATCACTGCACTAGAAGTAAAAAGAGATTTCTTCAAGATGTGATGCAATCATACAGAAAAATGTCTTCGTCATAGTAATACTGCAATACAATATGATAAGTAATAAGCTCGATACTTCAGTTCTTGCCTTGCCTTGAAAAGCTTCACCGATTTACATCAGTAACCACCTACCGCCAGCCGACCGACCATAGGTAAACATTTAAGTCAATACTACACTTTAGTTGCACCATCTAGTAGCAAGTAACGTGTAATATTTATAATGGCTAACATTACATCAAATCAGCGTTTGTACACTACAAATTTGATGGAATGTTGTCTACCGTGAGTCGTGACCTATTAAAGCTTTAATGATTTAGATCCGAAATATGAAATTTACACCTTCTTACCTAAACTAAATCGACTGTGTTAAGTTAAAATGTAAATTTCGCAATGATTGAATCTAGAATTTTTGAAGTGAAACTTCTTTATCGGGGTTGGAAAAAAATGTAGTGTAACATTTTTTCGTTACGCGTCACATTTTTGGTTACGTGCCATGTTGCTTTTTGAAGTCAAACTTCTTTATCGGCGTTGGAATGAAAGTTCTTTATCGACGTATGGGAGAAATTTTGTAGCAAATCGTCACGTTTTTCGGTTACGCGCCATCTTTTTCTTGTCCCTACCACGGTTGATCCGAAGAGATTCGAAGCCATTAATAACAAAAATATATAATAACGATAACAATGATAGTAATAATTCTATAATAATTCTATTACAATTAATGAAATTCTGTAATAATCTTAGTAGTAATAAGGTAAACTGAAATAATTGTATTTGTATTCATGTCTATGATAATAAAAGCCTTTTGTTAAACTTTATTTAACCAATTTCGTTAAGTTGCATATAGTAGATCATTTTTCGAAAAATAAGGTCATAAAGAAGTTTCACTTCTTACGTGTGTACACCTAGTACACGCACACATTTTTTTGAAGTGAAACTTCTTTATCGGGGTTGGAAAAAATTTAGTGTAACATTTTTGGTATTTCGGTTACGCGTCACATTTGACCGTTACGCGCGTCTTTTTCTTGTCCCTACCACGGTTGATTCGAAGAGATTCTAAACCATTAATAAATAAAATTTATAATAACTATAACAATGATACTAAAAATTATATTACAATTTATGAAATTCTGTAATAATCTTAGTGGTATTAAGGTAAAATGAAATAATTGTATTATTTGTATTCAAGTCTGTGATATTAAAAGCCTTTTGTTAAACTTTATCTTATTTAACTTTATTTAACCAATTTCTGTAAAGTTGCATATAGATAATTTTTCGAAAAATAAGGTCATAAGAAGTTTCACTTCTAACGTGTGTACACTAGTACACGCACATTTTTTTTTGATTAGGGATTAAATAAAATCATGGATGCTTATGAGTGACGCCATCTCACTATTGCCAGAATTTTCGGTATATTAATTTTTATATGAACATTGCTGGGTTGTGAGACAACTACCACCAAAGAAATTTGTATGAGACTGACATTAGCTCACGCTTTGGCACGTGACCGTTTCCACTTTCCATACAAATCATTTGGCGGTAGTGGATCACGCCTGTCGCAAAGTGACTTTGTCTCAAGTCCCATGTCTATTACTTTTATTATTGTCTTTGCAATCGCATAGGTCGTCTCATCTCTTTAACGTCTACGACCAGGATTTCCCCCAAAGAAAGATTACAACTAAAAATAACATAATTTTCGCTCTCTTATGTCATATAATATAGTTGTAATTTATAAACTTTCAGTCTACTAAGCTACCTAGTACCTGGTGTTCACGAAAAGTTCACATTTTGAATGAACAAAAAATTATAATAAAAATATCTGAATTAACATAATCGTTCGGGGATGTTTTTGGTATGATTTCACCTTGTTAGGTGGATAATAATTGTTTTAAAGTTGGTACTTGGTAGTTGGTAGCACTGAAGACAAAAGATTAAAGATATAAGAAAAATATATATGTATATATTTCTATTAATAGTTTTTAAAATTATTAAACGGTAAACAGTGTGATTCGTGGTGGATTATTCAGTGATTTGTGTGAATTCACTGGGTTTAACGTAATTGACTTTACTGGTGCTTTAACTGCTCTACTGTTACGACTGCTTAAGTGGTTAGTGGTTACTGTTAATTGATCTATGTAAGTATATGTTTAATGGTAAATATTATGTTATCGTTGCCAATAACTACTAAAAAACCCACGAAGTTTTAGGGAAATTCCAATAGGAATTCTGCAATAACATCATTCGTTAGGTGAAAAAAAGATATGGTCGAAAAGACTGAACAATAATGACTGAATAGTGATAAGAATGACTGTGTGTGTTTGCCACTGTAAAAAGAAAATGTAGCTTTAATAGGTTTTAAAAACCATTGTTGTATAAGTTCTTATTTAATATAATTACTGTACATGTTAATCTTTTCAGAATGGAAAGAATATCAAGATACCAATTACAACTAGATTCAATGGACTTGAATTACTTACCCATATCATTTTCAAGAGATTTCACCAAAACAGCTCCTTTATGGAGTTTTGGATCTGATAGTAATGAGTACTTTGAATTTGAAATCCGTAATAAAGTCGATGACAATATCCAAGATTGTAAGTATACAGAAATTTAATAATATTTATCAGGGAACATAGACCAACTAGCTTACAATTAGAAAGCCTTTTATAGACACAGTTTTTCCATGACTTTTCATTAGTATAATAACATTAAGATAGAAATTAGCATAATGTTTAAGATCCTAATCAAATATAACAATTCATGCATAGCTTCCAGTCCTGGCCACCCACAGCTAGACATATTATATTTATTTATGGTGACAATTTTTAAATTAAATATTAGTAATAGGTTTTTAAAAAAAGTATAAGGATCTATGCTGGTCAATTGAAAGTACAAAAGTACCTATTTAATATAGCTTACTTTATTTAGTACAAAATATATCTACATAGTTGAATCTGGTTGGCAAGCACAATACTTAATTGTGTAAAAATAATTTTAAAAATGTGAAACAGATTCAAACATACATTTATCATTGTACAAACATATTATTTACTGATATGTTTAATGTTGTAATATTTCATTCTTTATTTATAATTTAACTCCTACATTATATAATTCTATTTCAGCTACTATAACAGCAACATGTTACATTTGTGCCATAGAAGTTCCCAAATTATTCTTTAAAGACCACTGTAAAAGTAAAAGACACTACATTAATAAATGCATAGCAGAAACAGCATTAGATCGTATGCAAAAACATTTACAAAACAAAGAAGACTGTGAGATTACCAATGATGTATGTGATACATACTTCTGTCCTGAATGTGTTGTTACTGTCTCCCAAAAAGACCAAAAGTCGCATGAAAACCTTCAATCCCATAAATATTTGGCTATGTTTGACAACTTGTTTGATAACCTTTACAAAATATATGCAAATGAAAGTGAAACAAAAAATACACAAGATGGAGCAGATATATCACATATCACAGATTCATCCAAAATCAATAGCATTAAGCTGGACTGGGATCCTAATGATTCAATACAATATGTTAATAATAAAAGACAACCTGATGAGCCTAATGTGAGTTTAGATAGTTCAAAATTAGACAGATATTCAATTTCAGACCTAAAAGCATTGGATGTTGACTGTGATGCTTCTGACACATCCATTTCAAAAACATTAATCGATAAAGCAAATAATGTTTTAAAAAGTAAAGAATTCGTTTCTGAAGAATGTGAATCTAAATCGAATTTTACATCTATTCCATTTGACAAAGATTCATTTGTGAACAATGAGCTTTCAGATTGCATTTCTGTAGATGGTGATAACTTTAATTGTAATGTATGTTATTCAACTTTTAATAAAAATTCATTAAACTCACACATAAATGGATCTAGACATAAAATGAACAAGGTATCTAGGGTACATTATATGATGAAGGAATCTGGAAATGATTTGTATTGCATTGTTTGTTGCAATATTTTAGAAAATTCAGTTAAGTCAGCAAAGGATCACTGCAAAGGATCAAACCATACAATGTTGTATAAAAAAATTCTGAAAGAAAATGGAATCAGACTCACAAGGTCTCAAATTCATTGTGAACTTTGTGACAAAACTATTCCTAAAAGAAATGAATTTGTCCATATTTTTGGTTGTAAGCAACATCATAAAAAAAGGTCTAATAACTCATTTTGCAGTGTTTGTGATATATTAATACCAAATAATGAAGTCAAAAATCATGACAATTCTGATTTACATAAAACTAAGCTAGAATGTAAACAGGACAAATTTATAAATGGTAATAATAAAGCTATAATTAATATGACAAGAAATGCTGAAACTATGGAAGACACCTCTTCAAATGAAACTAAGACTAGTGAGCCATATTTCTGTGTGATATGTCTAGTAAATGTACCCAACACTCCAAAAAATATAGAGATGCACAATAATGGAGCTTCACATAGAAAGAAGGCTCAACAGTATTCAGAAATAATAGTTGTTCCCGAATCTTCTGTGAAAAGTGAAGTAAATGAAGCCAACAGTATTTATTATTGCGACATCTGTCAATGCAGTTTACGTAATAGCAGCAACATGATAGCCCAACATATTATTGGAACACCTCATATAAAGAAGTTAATAAAATTACAGGAATCGTTAGATACAACAAAAGAACTGCCAATCTCAAAACAAGGAGAGAAAAAAGCCGAAATTGTTTGTAAAGTGTGCAAAGTGAGAGTTCCTAATACCAAAACAAATATAAGTGAACATGGCAAGGGTAAAGTACATTTGAACAATTATAAACTTACTTTAGAATCAGAAAATATAGTTTCCGATGACAACAAACATTACTGTCAGGCATGTAATGTATATATAGAGAATCCTTTAAAACATATTGAAGAAAAAAATCATAAAAATAAAAATAAACTGCATATAAAGAATCTTCCATTTAAAACAACACTTAATGGTGACGAAACCACAAACCAACTGTCAATTACTGAGGCACATGTTGCAGAAGAATCAATATTGGTTAAAACAGATTCAACAATGGACCAAAACTGTTCTGTGTCTGATGTAAAGACGCAGGAAAAAATACCATTGGTTTCTGGTTATAATAACATGTGCAATGAAAATCTATCAGACCCTGAAAAGATAGATTCAAGCCCAAGCTACACTGCTTCTGACAAAAGTACCCTTATCCTCGAGCATGAAAATCTATCAGACCCTGAAAAGATAGATTCAAGCCCAAGCTACACTGCTTCTGACAAAAGTACCCTTATCCTCGAGCATGAAAATCTATCAGACCCTGAAAAGATAGATTCAAGCCCAAGCTACACTGCTTCTGACAAAAGTACCCTTATCCTCGAGCATGAAAATCTATCAGACCCTGAAAAGATAGATTCAAGCCCAAGCTACACTGCTTCTGACAAAAGTACCCTTATCCTCGAGCATGAAAATCTATCAGACCCTGAAAAGATAGATTCAAGCCCAAGCTACACTGCTTCTGACAAAAGTACCCTTATCCTCGAGCATGAAAATCTATCAGACCCTGAAAAGATAGATTCAAGCCCAAGCTACACTGCTTCTGACAAAAGTACCCTTATCCTCGAGCATGACAGTAAAAAAACTCCATTAAAAATCGAAGAAAGCAATACTGAAATTCCGAGTTCTTTAAAAGAAAAGCCAAATGTTGTACAGGATGATCAAAAGTTATTAAAAAGTGAATGGATCACTATACTTGATGGAGAATATTATTGCAAAATATGCAGTACTTCTTTGCTAAATGTTAAAAATCATATAAATGACAGAATGCACCGATATCTTCATCCAAGATTTCCATATTAACATTTTTTAATATAGAAATCTTGTTATTTTCCATGACATGTGTGCATACATTGTCTACTTAGAGATATCTTAGATGTTAAAAATACTTCATTTAAAGTATAAAAATTGACTACAATCCACATGGCTGCCTTTTAATATTTAGATATTTATTGAGACATAAAGAAGAAAATATAACCACATATTTAAATTTACGTTACGTTTAAAAATATGTTCCAAAGAAGAGCATTCAGGAGCAGTCACTAGAATAACCAAATGGCCTTTAAACTAGATAGACATATAGTTTTACTTATTATTGTGAATAGTCTGTGCTGGTGCTACTATGTTTGATATAAAGAAGATATAAACGCAAATTTATTACTTTTTCATATCCCTTGTCCATTTGAAACGTCCGATACTTGTAATAAATTCACCTTTGTACTGTTTAAAAAAAAGGTTTTTTTCTTGTACTAGACAACATTATGACGTTTGTTTTTGGACGTTTATTATATTGTTATTTGTTGCACTTTCAGCCTTATTGAAATACATTTCTCAAAAGGAAAGTGTCAACTTTACGATCAGCTATTACTCATATTGTGAATTACATCTAACAAGTGTTACAGTATAAATGCGAGAATGGTGCGCTGACTGACGTCATGAACATTTTGCTGAATCTATAGTTAACGTAATTTTAAAACTGGATAAAATGTGTCAAACAAGACGTGATTCTTGACGATTATTACTGACGGTATTAGTCTGAATAAATTATCACATTTTATTGGTGTAGATAGTTCTTATTAATAAAATATGGAAAAATGTATAAGTGCCTAAAATTATGTTTATTGATAGATTACTAAGCTGAATTTATATTCTGTTTTGACAATAAAAAAAATTATTTAATAATTTTACTATTTATTGCACCCCACTCTTAGTTTTCAAACATTCTTGTATTTTTGGCTAAGAATGAAACGAATAGGATTAACTTAATAGTAATACTATTATGTTAAGTTATTTATTACGCAATAAAATGTGTAGAACTGACGCCTCTATAAATTCTCCCTGCTTCATTGAACCTAAAGTGGCTATGGAGTATGGAACTTTTTGATAAGTACTATCTATCTGTTTATAAATCACACCTCGAACCATTTTTATTTTAGTAACTACAGTTTTTTTTTAAATCATACTCGAAACATCTGGGGGCTACATTAATGTAAGACAGTGTTAACCGTTTCATTCCTAAGCTTGAGGTCCTGCGCGCGAACCCTGGCTATAGTAATAATCCCAGAATTTTTAAGTATTCAATTGACACTTGCGCGTGGTCATGGTGGTTTTCTTGCCAACGGGATGCATTTTATAGACCGACCGAAAATCTACATTTTGGTTTTTATTATAACTACCGTATATTATCATCTTCAACTTGCATAAAACTTTGTCAAGTGTCCACTATAGTCTATATTTTTACCACAGCATATTTTCATTAAAAATGTAAAATAATTATGATAATGATATGTCATTTTTTGATGGAAATGTCAAATAGTGTCAAAATACAAATACTTCTGAATCCTGAGACCATTGTTAATTGTTATTGTTTTGGGCTTCTTTGCAATAATAATTCTAATTATACTTTAAATGACCTCCATTCAAGAGCGCCTACAACTTAAGCGTGCACCGCTGGATACATGGAATATAAGAGAGCAGCTATGTCTTGCCTCAGCAGTAGTCAGAAGTGGCGATCAAAATTGGATGTCTGTTTCGCGGGCGCTTAAGTCTCTTGCTGATCCCAATCGCCCCCAGGATTGGTATTCACAAAAAAAGTAAGCAAATAAGATGTTCTCAACCGCTTCCAGGATAATAGATCTTTTCCTGCATTTCGGTATATTCCTAATCTAACATATACTCAGATGTTTGTTTGTAAACCTCAAACAAATAGTATTTATTGTGACTTAAGTTGTTTTAACTATATATCCCTTCGTTTTCTAATTAATATTTTTTTTTATTTGAACAGGTTTTTTAAATGGCACAAACATTTGAGTTTTCTCTATGCCTAAAAATCCCCTATATCTGAATAATAATTGTAATATATTAAATGTTTCATGCAATAAGATGTATATACAGAGTATAATATAAGTAAGTATATAAATCTAATTATAAATAAGATTCCCTAAAAGAGTTATATCATTATAGCAAATGGTATTAACTATATTATTTTCTATGCTGGTGATAAAGTAAATATAATTTTTTTTCCACATTGTTAATTTTGTTTGGTTAAGTTGTGCTGTCCAGTATGGTGCTTTATTGGAACATGTGGAAACTCCAAAGCGCAAGAAGAGGAATTCAGAAGGTGGCGTGGAGACACCACAGGAAAGCATCCTCAAACGGCTTAGGGATCAGAGAGTACAGGAGATAAAGAATAGCCTAGCTGAAATAAATGCAGAATATGAACAAATAAAGGTTAAAATATTTAAGCATTACTATATTTATATTATTTTATAGCTATTATTATTTCTTGCACAACTTAACTATTAAAATGACTATTACCATAACTATATTAACTATAATTGTTATTATGCGATTTATCTGATTTTATATTGTTCAATGTTGGTAACTAAATTTAATAATATAATAATAATTACAATATTGCTTCTTTTAGAATGAAGTAAATGAAGTGCGTAACTCATCAACATCTGAAGAAAAACTTCAAGAGCTATGGGCTGAGATTGAAGCGTCTAAACAGAAAAGAGAAAGAGAAAATGCTACTCGTGCAGCTTGGATGAAAGAGAGAGAGGAGCGAATAATCAAGGCTGAAAAGACATGGAGACCTCAGACCACTGTTGCCACCACAACACAAGGTTTGTAGTTTCAGATGAAGAAATATAAGCAGATAGGCAGTTAGTTATCTTTGAGAATACATGAAAAAGGGGTAGTTTTATCGCGTTGGTAGTAACTGTAAAGAAAGAGTAATAATGTGGAAAATATTTTTTTTGTGAACATTTATGTGTTGTTCACAAGAAATAAATAACTGTACATCACAGTTATGTAAATAGTGTTTATACAAAACAATATAAGCTCAGTCTATTCAGTTAAGAGAAAGCGACTTTAAGACTTTTAATAAAGATAAAAAAGACATTTGATTTAACATTGCCTATTTTTCAATAGATACAGTACAAATAACATTCTTATATATAAAGAAAACACTTTTTACTGGATTGATTATAAATTCACAATTATTATATTATTATTAGTTACTAGCTGCCCTGGCGAACATCGTACCGCCTAACAGTCAATTCTTTATTTTTTTTAAATACTTATTACTTATTCTGCTATTCGGGACACCGGTCTAGCTAAGATAAAAAAAAAGAAAGTTGATAAGACAACAAATACATTATGTCAAAAAATAAAAATTTACCTTCCCGGAACCCCTCCACTAACACTTGAACTTTATGATATGGTATTAAAGTACAAATTGACTTTTAAGTATTATTATGTATGGGAATATAGAAAAGTGTTGTTTTTAGACTTTTTCACTCAATTTTTTAATTTTTCTCTCCGTAAGACCCATCCTCGTACTTCAAAGAATATTATAAAAAAAGAATTGGCCAAATCGGTCAAGCCGTTTTCATGTTATGTCGTGACAACGGAAAACGGGTTTCATTTTTATATATATAGATACATAACTTCAATCCAGTAAAAAAGTGTTTTCTTTGTGTTATGTCAATAAAAGACAATACTATTCTTATATATTTCAGTTACATCTTCCACGCCTTCATCACCACTGTTATCCTCTTTGTTAAAGTCCACACCAGTTGTCACCACACCACAGCATATCTTACACCCAAACAATTGTATCGGTAAGTTTATGTGTAACTTGTGTTCATATGCTGCAACTAATTACTCTAAAGTATTTGTGATTCAAATTATTATTTATTATAGGTGGGTTAACAAGATCAGACAGGCGAAACGATCACTCTTTCCATTTGACACATCGCAATCATGACAAACGCGTCATCGTTTCGTCTTTTGTTTTATATTCTAAGGCTCTAGACATTTTGACAATTTCGTATATTCCCAACTATTATTAAGTCCACTTTGTATAGTATTTTGCATTTATTAACACTTAATACTACCACCCTAATAATAGATGAGTGTTTGCCTAGTAGTGCTTTCGAATCTCGGCTATGCATAAACGAATTTATTCGTGCCTACTGTACTTCCCAATTTTATTATCTGGGAATTAAGCATCAGTCCAACACCATATTTCCAGAGCATCTATTTTCCTACTTTCACATGATCATATTATCCAGGATTCAGCTCCATAAAGGAAAATCTAAAATACCATTAACTAACATAGAGTTTATACTAACAAAGATCGTGCATGATATTTGATATAATACATGTATTCACAATTTTATTATATTTTATTTTGATTTTAATTGGACTATTTATGGTTTCAGAAACAGTGTCACCCAGTGCCGGTGCCCCGACACTGTCTTTATTATTGGAACAGCCACAAGATAAAGAACATGCAGCGATAGAACATATAAAAAGTCAATTGGTGCAGATTGAACATCAGCTTAAAGGTATTAATTTTTTAACAATGACTTTAAACTTAAATTTTATTAATTGATGGTATGATTTTCTTGGAAACCATAAAGTTAAATACTGATTGTTATAATTGATGATGTAAATAATTACTTCGAAATCAATACGACGTCCGTCACTCCGCGTTTTTCCGAATCAATTCGACTTAGGGTCTTTCAAGAAAGGAGCATACCAAATCTTAAAGGGCCGGCAACGCACTCGTGAGCCCTTTGGCATTGAGAGTGTCCCTGGGGGCGGTATCACTTAACATTGGTCGCGCCTCGTTTGCCCCTTTTCTATAAAAAAAATTTCTTTAGTTTTTATATAATTATCCACGGGTGTACAGCCTAGAGGTCTTTCGGGATCACAATCTATTTCGTGCCTCTTGCATCCAATTTCAAACACCAGGGTGCTTGACGGCCCACCAACGCAGCCTCGGTTTCTCAGTCGGGTTTTCTTTGGCCACCACAGTGAGTTCAGTACGGACTCACAACATGCAACTTTTCGGTGCAATGTGCCAAGTCGTGTTTAGGGGCGGAAATCTCCTTCCTGCCAGTTCGTTTAGATAACAACGGTCCATTTTAATATACTTTCGATTTCAAAACTTGTTGGTTTTGGACTGGATAGGTGACCTGAGTTATTACTCAAGTAAAATCAGCAATATATATTAGTTTTTAATTTTTATCTGTATGGTTTTATAGACAATTCTCAGTTTCTCCTACATATGCCATGATTCGCAGTACTCGTTTATCATATGTTCGTGGGCTGAACACAAACTTCTTTGTGTGGGCAGATAAGCAGCTCATAACATTTAAATATTTACACAGCCAGCACGAGTGGGTCACCAGTGCCTAACCCCCCTTCAATAGTAACGACAGCTGCCACCCCTGCAGTGGATATAGATGATATAGAGATAAAGGCGGAAGATGTATATGCGTTCAGTGATATAGATATACATATACCACCCGTGGCTGCGATGCACAAGCCAAGGTAAATTATATTTATAGCTAAGGGTAAAGCTGTATTAGACATTAACAGCGCTTAAGAGAGATTGTGTGTGTTATATAACATAAATTTTAACTAATATTAGTTAAAATTTATTTATAATTTTAGGGTGGAAAAGCAATATAAGAAAGAAGAAGAACCATGTGTTATTGAGGAGCCTATGCAAGAAGATAAGGTGAGGAAATTGAGTGTTTTTTTAAAGTGTGGCCTCTTACAATCTCTCTATATCTCTCTATACTAGGTTGGGACTTAAAAATAATTGTTATAACTTAAACATCTATTTATCTTTATAAGTTGGTAAAATATAACTTTTACATAACTAAAGAATTCCTGCCCGTTTGCCCCCCGGTTATAAAAAAACATTATTATTGCGATAAATAGTACTTGTTTTCGTCCTCGTAAATTGCGATATATTACAATTCGAAGTAAAATAAAGTAAAATGTATGAATTGAATATTTAAAGAGGATTGTAAAATATTTATTATTTATTTACAGCATAAAAAATGATAAACATTAAAGATTAATTAATTATTTGGGAGTCGAGGGAATTTATCACTTTTGAAAAATACTATCCTACCTTTCCCACTTTGGAAGCATAATTACTATATTTCGCCGGAAATAGAAAACAGATCCTTCCTTATACGCTTTATAACAAAGAGTAATATATATATATATTAATGCATTCCAGGTTGAAGAAGTTCCTGTATCAGAGCCGATAGTAGAACCATCAAATACTACGGAAGATGCACAGGTATTTTTAATTAATTTACTCTAAAGCCACGAGCATATACGGGACATACAAGAGTCCCCTTAGCGAAGGCTATGACTCTAAAGGCTGATCACCTGTGCCTATACAGAAAAAAAAGGGTGCGTGTACTTATGTACGCGCGTAAGAAGTTATACTTCTTTGGCTTTCTTTATTATTTTTTAATATAATTAATTAATATTTAACGTAAACAATTTAATATTTAGTTTATTAATTAATATTAATTACAATTATTATTATTATTTATTATTTTATTATATTATTCATTCAATTTAATAACTTGGTATGTTTCATAACCTTTTAACTATGTAACAATAGGTCTTTGTGAAAAAGCATTGCTAAATTTATTTGAAAAAATAATTAAAACTCCTTTATTTGTTTAAAAGCTAAATGTCATTATGGTCATTCAAAATTGTTGGCATACGAACTTCACGCATATTCTATTTCTTTTTACTTGTAGATTGTCTTATTCCCATCTCGCTCGCGCACGCTATAATCACACTGACAACTTTGTGTCTCAGTTGCGCGCGCTTCGTAAAATTTCACTCTCATCAATTTTTCATAACGCGCCTAAAGAAGTATAACTTCAAAAATAAATATCGAGAAAACAGATAAAAAATCTATTTATAATTTTTATTATTGTAATGGTTCTGGTTTTTAATAATGTAATAAAAATATATTGCGTATAAAAGCTTTACATATTCTAGGTTGAACCGATAAAAACAGAAGTGATACAGGAGGAAGAAACCATACCGGAAACGGAAATAGTGCCGGAAGTAAAAATTGCTTTCCCGGAAGTGAAATTTCCGACACCGGAAATAAAAGTTATACAGTCGGATGATTCGCAGGTATTCGACAAAATTCGTTAATAGGCTATTTGAGAACTATTTAAAAACGATTACAGATTATTTATTACTGACTACAGAATCACTATTCACTACAGATTATGAGTTTTTAGTCTGTACTGTAACTTTAATAACTCGCCAAATAGATTTTCTACGCAAGATGGCGTCTCACGATTCGCTGTGACGTATCATGCTTGTAAACACGTAAACAAACGTCAAATTTTTTATGTGTTAATTATCAATATTGAATATATGTTACACATGTATTATATTACAGTCTTTGACAAAATAAACCTCGGAATTATTAGAATTAAACACGCGAGGATATATTATTTACAAGGATGCTACGTCAACGTCGAGTCGACTAATCTGTGACCGTTTTGTGTCACGTGACTCACATATAGAAATCAATAATTTTAATTATGGAATTTTGTATAAATTAATGATTATTTACAAGTTATTTAACTCCACAACGCGTTTAAAAGCCGTGTATTATACAGATTCAATAACTTTCATACCGTCAAATACCTTATTGCATTAAAGCTGTATAAAACAAATGCCATTAAAAGTTACAGCCAAAGGTAGAGCAAGAGCCGCTAGAAGCTAGCCTACCGCTAGAGGAAGAAGTTAAACAAGAGAAAACGGAAATTGAGGATACTGTGGAGGAGCCGATTGTAGAAGAAATTCAAGATGTACCGGAGAAAGAAGTAATAGAGGAGAAAGTAGATGAGTAAGCATAAAAATATAACTTCCATCTCCTTGAGGGCCTGGGTTTGGGAAGGCGGTATCTAGGATGCTCCCTAGATACCGCTATATCTTCTCTCGGTATAATAATATGCGCTGGTTCGGCTATCACGTGTCAGTATATGTATATCGGTATAGTAACAGAAGAAATCTAAAAATCGATTAGACCAATTCTAAAAATTAAAAAAAATTACACTTACCATCCCCGGCCGTGTGTGTAATACACAAAAATTTTATTCTTAATAATTGTAATAAGAAAATGCGATTCAATTTCTGTGCGCACGCGACAGCGATTCATTCTTGCTACCATTACGCCGGATCTCCCCTTCCATTTTCGTTTCGATTATAGTCAAAAGCGAAAATGATCATCATTGACTGACACCGATTATAGCGCAAACCCTGAAACCTTTGCAAACATCCTGTTTAACCTTTTTCTCGGTAGATATGTGTCATATACGAAGGTCCTCTCTTTACTAAACTTTAAAACGGTTAAGAAGATAGATTTTAATTAAAAGGAACAATGTTGAAATAAATAATAATAATAATTTGTTTTCAGACCCGAGCCTGCACCACTAAAAGTAGATATACCACAAGAAGACGCACAGCCTGAGCCAGAAGTTGCAGAGGTGGAGACGAACATACCGACGGAAGAGATACCTTTGCCGGAGTCACCTAAACCTGAGGGTAAACTATCTTAATTTAGTATATGTATTTTTAATAGGAACATTTATAAGGAAAGTAGCTGAACTTAGCTTCTCCTTAATGTGATTTTACTTAGCCTACCTTTGTAGTACGTACCAACATGGAACATTTTGATATGCTATCCCAGAGACTGTTGGTTTTCTGGAATGAAACCTTTTAGGTTTTTCAGTGAATTTTTCTCTATATAAACCTCAGAGTTCAAGTCATAAGAAATTTTCATGTCATAAGAAATATGGGTTGATCTTAGAGGAGTGAAAATTAAGGGTTGTATGTATCATAAAACAATAAAAACAAAAAAAATATCTAAAAAATAAAAATTTAGGTTATAGTGAATATTAATTTAAATTATTCGGTACGGGTCAAGCGAGAGTCTATACGCGAATACGTATGCACCAAATGTTTTTTTATCTTAAGCTACAAAAGATTTTATATTGTATCAATAAAGGTGTACGGATAGGCAAATATGAAAAAAAAATTGTTGGTCCTTCGAGCCGGACAGCGTCTTGAAATGAGACTCGTAAGGCACTATATTGTAATAATAATACTAATGTCAAACTTTTCGATATGTAATTAACAAGGTCATATTTGTGTCTGGGTATGTTATTAAGGTCTATTCCAAATCAATTTGTAAATTGCAGAGCCAGCGATTGAAGAGACGGCACCAGAAGCACAGCCTGAACCAGAAGCGGATACAGAAGTGAATGTGCAAATACAAGATATACCGCTACCGGAGACGGAAGAGACCAAAGAGGAAATGGAAGAAGTTAGAGAAACGAAAGAAGAAAAGAAAGTAGAAGATGAGGTAAGATTGTGTTTTGTTAGATAACCAAAACTTAAGTCTTTTAAGACCTATTTCACAATGTGCATTTGCAGCATTTTGTGCAGCATTCTAATTTCCTCTTGACTTATGGTGTATAATGTAGAAAAAGGTGTTTTATTTTTGTACTGAAGACTGTAATATTCATATATTCGAGTACGAGGACTATCTGAATCTTATTTTGCAAATATTTGAAGATCAAAAAATTATAAATGTAAGATTTAGAGTCGAGACAGATTAGATAGAGTTAGCACTAGATCGATCGAGTTAGTAGGTCTTCCGTGAGTCAAAAACTTTTAGAATTTCAGATTATCCTAAGTCATAATTTTACTTAGGTACAAAAATATTTATATTCATATTAATTCTTTTCTAGGACTTAATACCATTAAAGGATATGATAAAGGAAGAAATAGTACAAGAGAAAGACAAAGAAGAAGAACCTCATACTGAAACAGATGACGATACTCCGATGGAGGTGAGTAAAAGAAATGGGATTATAATATGTACTTATAATAACTAAATATAAATGTTTTCTTTTAGTTAAGCAGAGAAGAAGATAAAGAAGGAAAAACAAAGAGAGATTATTCAAGGAAGAAGAAACCGGATTCCAGAAGTAAGTTTCCTAATAAATACATATGATTCAGTCTTAGGGGCCGTTCAAGTAATACGTAACGAATTTTGGGGGGAGGGTTTCCAGTAATTTTACACTGTAATTGTAACTTTTTGGAATAAAGAGTCACTCCGGGTGGTCACGAAACGTTTTACTATACTTGGGTACAGAAAAACGTTACGGCGCGTTACATGGGGGTTTCAATAATCTCCAAAAATTGCGTAATACTTGAACGCTCCCTTATTTAAAAGACTGATTATTAATATAGATTACTGTAGACCGTGATTTTTTTTGTATGACATTTGAGGCATATATTTTAAGCGTGTTCTGGTTCGGAAAGTGCCCCGGATTCCCCGAGCTCAAGCGAAGCAGAGAGACAACACCGACTCTGGAAGAAGAGTGTTATGCTTGTATATAGCAGGTATTATCATAATTAATAGAGCAGATAAACAAGATTAAAATATACGAAATAATTTCCTGTTTTGCACACTTTGTCTATATGTAAATTTTACAAAAATTCTTAACAAAACATTATGGACACGGGCGTGTTATAGCTTAAACGATCTTATAATAATAATAATAAAATCCTTTATTGCTTTAATTACTTATACTAGTACATATAAATGAGAAATACTAAAAAATTAACACTAAAAATAAAAATAAGTGCTTCCCCCTCCCCGTAATTGTTTTCGCTAATCGTAATGCATTCTTTGTAGCCCGGTCAATTTAGACATTCGAAGTTACATAAAGTCAAGGCCGGTCGTCGATAACAACTTTTATAACTTTTTGAATCGTTATATCTCAGAAACGGTGGCTCGTAAGAAAAAAAGTATTGATACATTTTTTATAGATAATTGTATGATCTACAATTTTTGTCTGAGGTACTTTTATGATAAAACTTACCGTTTTGCTGAAAATCGCGAAAAACTCATTTTTTTGACCTTTGCCCTTGATTAAAAATTTTTCCTTATACGGGAATGATGGGGAACTTCTAGACATTGTTTATAATTATGTTTTTAACAATTTCACAGAAATTCAGCTTGTTGGGACTTTATGTAACTTCACTCTCATTTTTTGGCCTAAATTGACCGGACTATTTGATCCTCTGATCGAAGAATCATTTATAATTTATCCAATTTCAAAATTATTAATTTTGGTCCAAAAGATTTCTAGTAACTAAAACTAAAAAATCAATAAAATAAAATTGTCAAAATCAAGTGCATTTTCTTCAAATAAGGTTATGCGCACACAAGTACGCGTCGTTGTTCCTGCGACCTATCACCGATGAAGAGGCACCGGGGTATAGCACTATAGTGAAGAGGCCTATGGATCTTTCGACCATTCGACGGAATATAGATGCGGGGCATATTAGGTCTATTTTTTAATTTTACATATAGCATGTGCTTGGCCTGTGAAGGTTTCTTTCTTCTAAAAAAGTAAATTTTCACTAAAATTGATAAACAAAAAAAAAATGAACCATTCATTATTATAGGATATTTAAGAACTGCAGTTTTCGATCTTGAAATGGGGGTTTGAACCCTGAGTATTATACTGATATACTTTTACTTCAAGGTCGTGCATTTATATCCCAAAAATGACCAATGGATCTTTCTATATATAGATTTATATAGAAAACCTTATAGCAAACGTATTACAAAGTATTTATTAAATCAAAACCCCAATTAAAAGTTACATGCATATGATATGCATTAGCAAACATGAACACGAATCTTGCCTCACATTAGAGTCTCTTGCCTAAAGAAAAAAAAATTTAAATTTATAAAATTGTTAATTTGTTTAGGAAAATTGTTTGAATGAAATCCCTCACTTTATCAAAATTTCCAGGACCACAGCTCAATTCCAGCGTGACGTGTTACTGATGCTGTCAAACGCACTCATGTACAACAGTACTTCGCACAGTGTTTATGCAATGGCTAAAGACATGTTTGAAGAGGTGAGATCGACGGAAATATTTGTATTTTTATAAATTGTTTTTAATTCATATCCTTATTTAAACATACGAGCTACGGACCGTAACGAGAAAGAATGGTCAGTTAACGACACGCAGCGGTCACGATTAATGCACTAAACTAAAACTACATTCAATAGTTGATAAATCATTTTAAAAAAATCTAATCTCCATTACAGGCACAATGTCAGCTGGGGATGTTGTTAGCTGCGCAAGCGCACGCAGGTTTAGTGAATACGGCGCCTCCGACGCGTAAAAGGCGGCCGCAGACAAATCCAAATTCACCTTCGCAGTTTAAGACTCAGAGATTGTAATTTTAAGAATAAACTAGTTGAATAATATGGTTTTTCATTTTTGATCGTAATTATATTTTAGTTAAATCTCTACAAATAGGTATGTATACGAAAATTATTATAATAAGCTTCATATACGATGGTTTTAACCACATATATAGTAGTTACCATAACAAAATAAAACAAATAAGTGGCATTAACCGTTTTAGGTCAAGGCCTCAGATTTCTGAATCTGTTTCACGATCAATTGTCAATCTAATAGGCAAGAAGGCACCTCCTGTGCCTGACACACGCCGTCGACTTTTTGGGTCTAAAGCAAGCCCGTTTCCTCACAATGTTTATCTACATAAAACAATACTTTACTTTCAATTTTGGACTGATAATAGATATCTATTCTGCTTAGAAACAATGGTTGAAATTTTTTTCATTTTATTATTATTATTTTTTTCATTCTATTGAAATGCAACCAGTGTAATACAATTTCTATAATATTCTAATTTCTACGAGAAAATAATAAAAAAGAACACAGTAGCAGCGTAAATCGTCTTCACTTTGGTTTAACAAACCCTTTTTGAATATCGAATCCTGTTTTAATCAGGTAAGTACCAAGTTGTTTTGGAACTACATATGTTAAAAATAAACGATGCATCGTTCTCTACCCCGTTTGTGGAATTTTAACAATGTCTTTGCAACAGATGGAAGTAGAGGTGTCCTAATAACCTGAAACTAGAAATCGCTAAGTTAATTACAATCCAATTCTCTCTATGTTGCCAAAGGACTTATAGTCGTATTTTTAATTAGACGAAGCCAACTGACAGTAGCTAATGTCACTTTGTAAAATAATGTTGCCATATTTAAAGTAATAGTGATGCGTTCAGTTCTTGTTCAATCAGATGAATGAACAATGAGTGTGAATAGTCAATCATTTCAAACAATAAAAGAATATTATTTCTATTTCAAAATTGTATAAAAGTGCTCTGATATAAGTTAGGTACTAGTACTATGTAACTACAATCAGTTTTTTGACGTCTTATTACAAAGCGCGGCGCGGCGACTAGTGCCATCACCGATCATTAATTCAGGGGTTTTTACTTTGTCACAACACTATTTTTATTTCATTAAAAACTGACAACACCGTAAACGTCAGTTGATATCGTCTAATTAAAAATTCGACTATAGTTTCAGTGGTATTCCAGTAGGTTAAATAAATCGCTGAACTGGATCCGAGGCATTGAAAGTTGTTTACGATGTCTCATCGAATAATCACTCAGCCGATTTGCAAACATTTTTGACCGCGTCTCATATACATTTTTCAAGCTAGTAATAAATCCTTATCTACATAGGTTATGGCTAACAAATCAACATCTAACTTGACGAAATTCACATTGTTTTTCATATACAACCCGATTGACGTTATTTACACTAATTTTCAAATGGCGTTTGATAAAGCTAAAATAGTGGCCATAAGGGTAATTAGCGACTAAGACAGTTGTCTTGCAAAATCTTGAAAATCCCTGGACTTGTGGAACTTTACGAAACACAATAAAAATATGTGTTATACAATATATAGTAATATTCTCGAATAAATATACTACACTTCCCGTATGGTTTAGGTACATAATAATATCATAGGGACTTCGGAATAATATTTCATAGTAAATTATTATCATTCGTCGAACTCATTGAAACCAGAGCAAATTTTTGGTTACTTACGTTTCCTAGGTCTTACGTATTTTAAAGGAACAAAAATGAAGTAAACGCATGCTTTTTAATTACATAACTCGTAAAATATAATAAAATCGCTAGTATCCGCTCTAGATCGCTCAACCTTAGGTAGTGGAGGTGTAATTCAATTAATTGGCACAATAATAATCGCCATAATTGAATAAAAACCAAGTTAGATCAAATTAGAGGTGCAAGGTTTTTCATCCTACTAATCCCTTGAAATTATAATTAAATATCAAAACATTGTATTCTTAGATAAAACTAAAAAAAAATCATTTTGATTTGACATCTTCTAAAGGATTCTCTTCATTCTTACGACTCTCGCATTAAAGATTTGAACTAGATTCACTTGAATTTGCAGCAAGTCGTCATTGATATAGATCAAATAAGAAATAGAGTTGTAGTCACCGCGGTTGACAACAACCAAAGATAAAGTTTATATCGTTCAATAGTGGAGTGTGCCGAAAATTACTCGCTAGACATTTTCCAGCAACTCCTTTAATTGTGTCCAGAATCTTGAGAGCGTCGCGCTCATGTTACAGCGAAAACAATTCTTTCGAAAACGGGGTTGAATAAATATTTCTAAGTTTTCTACAACTTAGAAACGTTTTCAGTAAGTAATTTGGAATTTAACTAACGTTACCTTCGTTTTCAGGGGGCAAAAAAAAGTCTTCAGGCTGTTTTAGAGCAAGTCCCATGGTACACTATTCAGGAACTCGACCAGTGAATTCAGTTTCGGGTGCGATTCCGATATAAAAGTGCGATTTTTTTAAATAAAATAATTTTTAATAAAAGATAATTACGTCATTCTCATTATCACTTTTTATTCCACACCTCTAGTATTTTACGTCTAATACTATATCTAACTCCCCTAGTACCAATACTTTGGGATGCGATTCAACAATGGATTACATACATGTACACGTTAGCGTTACTCTCACTTTTAGGTTGTTGCTTATTTCTTAATGTTTTATGTTCACGCTAAACTTCTGCCAGTACCAATACTTTATAAATTTGTCATCGTATTTCCATACTATCGTGCATATGTATTTTTAGTTTGCCTTATGAATTAATATAAATACTGACGTGTCTGTTTCCTGCTATGCAGCAAAGTATTGTTTAGTGGTCTGGCGCGAAGGCGTGCTCTAAGCACAGGAAACTGGCAAAACAGATAAAGAAATCTGAGGCTAAGATAAATAAATGTTCCACTAGGATTTAAAAATATCGTTATATAAAACTTTTAGTACAGTAACTTGTTATATAAAAAATCTTTATAGTATTCGTCTTTTCGTAATATTAATAAAATTATAGGTATTTATTATATCAAAATAAACAAAAAAGCACAGCTTATAAACGTGTATTTATTTCAAGATTAAAATAAACACTACAAACGATTCTATTAATATACATTTCACTTAAAATACCTTACAACCATCAGCGTGACCTTGGGCAGTACCGCGCCACGAGTGTGCTCACGAAAATGTCATTTTGACAGCTGTCATCCGCAAGTACACTTGTGACGTGTTCCACCCGTATCGTGATACACAGAGATACTAAATGATTTAATTATATATTAATTAGTTCACTAATCGAGGACTGTGTTGCCAAGAATTGCATTTTTTGTTGACAATTCTCTGCTCTAAATAACAATCATGGCCCAAGAGTGCCGTGTTTTCAAATAATCGCCAAATAAAGAGTCAAGCAAAAATCTTTGAAATATCCTTTTTAAATATATTTGTCTATATTAGATAGTTTAAACGGAGCAAAGATCAGACTGTCTCTAACAGACTTATAGCAAGTGTAGAAAGAAAAGTATAGCGACGAAATAGTTTTGAGCATTTAAATCCTAACATGCCTCTAGAGAAAGAAACAGATGCATAATAGTTTCATCTTTGCTCCAATTTAAAACGTCATTGTCATATCCTTGAATGTCACATTTTACTTGTCAAAACTGTTAAAGTTTCTATACGAAACGTCACCAATTAACCATAAACACTAATAAGATAATTACTTTAAATTCTTGTAAACTGACTTGAAAATTTTCCCATTAAAAAAATTTAAAGTAATGCATCTTCTTTCGTTTATGGTAAAAAAGACTGCTCAAGCAGATTGTTTCTTTGTAAGATGTTATCTCTTTGTTCTTAGAGAACCATTCTCTATATATTTCTATCATGATAGTTATGATATAAAGCATTTTATATTTAACAAAGATGTTTATTCGTGTTTTAAAATCTGGTATTTATACCAATTTGCCCTCTCTATCCACGATGATACATTTAGTACCTTCTTGAGGCGACGTCTAGAAATCGAATTAAACAAATTAAATTTACGTTTACCGCGTAAACAAAAACATATATCAGACTGTAATGACAAATTTAGTTTAAAATATAATGTATCGATAAAAACAAATCATAATGCGACTCAATGATCGAGCACTTAGGCGCGTATTCTAAAACGTCAATCAAACTTAAATCTAGTTAAGCTGTCAAACCACTTTCATTTATGAAGTCTGACATATTTGACAGCACTCAAGTCGAGATAAGGACTTGATACGTTTTAGAATATGCACCTATTTTTATCTATCTGTTCCAGATCTTGTTTGTCTATGACTTCGGTAAATCGCTAAATTTCCCATTCGTAGACAAAAACATGAAATTTACATATTAGTGCACATGGTCTCTGGAGTATTATTCCGGTAAATAAAATTTTTGCCACAGCACCTAGGGTACAAATTCCGCGAAACTGAATGAGAATAAGTACTCCCATATATTAAACATGTAATGGATTTCGATTCTGAATTTTACCTGAGATAATAAAATGCTAAATATAAGTACATAAAAGTGCTCAGCACATAGATATGTTTACTCGAATTATTTATGATTTTGTCGCAACGCAGCCGCGATATCCCTAACGTCCAATTGCACTTTGGGCTTGTGTTGCGGCGGCTCGAAAAAATAATCGAATCGTTTGAACGACTCGATCTCTCGATCTGTGACTTCGAGCGACGATAAATTCGTATTCGACGGCAGGAATACACTCGTTTCTAGAAAAGAATAAGTAATAAGAATATGACGACTTTTAAAACGTGGATTAAACTGAGAAATAGATAAATATGGATGGAAGTGTGATAATGCATTATAAAAAATAAAAAAACGTCTTCACGTGAGTGTTTACACATTGAAATTTATTTTAAACGTTCCAGCCGCTTTTCAGCATTTTAAAACAATAAAAAATATTTGCTGAAAACTTATTTCAAGAAAACATTTCTTAATAATATTTTTTAAAAATAAAAATTA